ACTTTTCAAGGTTTAATTGTACCAATCGCATTGATTGCGAGATCTCGGATTAATCCCTTAAAGGGGTCACGAGTATATAAAAATGTGACTCGAAGAAAAGAAATTAAGCTTTATATATAAGTATAAGTGGCCAACATAATAGGTACGAAAGACAAAAACTTGTGACACAATTTTCTTTATAGAGGGATTAATGGAGCATTTAAACTAAAAATCTATAATTGTCCATTTCTCATATTTGGAGGGTGACTCTTCTAATATAAGTAGGCAAATGAACTACCTTATTTTTTTCTAATTTTCTAAATGAAATGCGAATTTAAATAATATGACTCATACATATAGAGATAAAGGGATAATATAAGAGAAAATATCATGCAAATAAGAAAAGTTGCCTAAAAAAGGAAAAATGCATGAAAATGCTATAAATGACACACAAAATATGAATCTAACACGTGGATGATCTAAGAATCTTGTATTGGACAAACTCATTTCTATAAATCTTCACTGGGTTGGACTAATAAGAACACGAAAGGAAAAATTACAACTAGCGTTGGACTAGTGTAGTGACATCATGCATTCATCATTTATAATAAAACATATAAAAGATAGATTAAAACAAATAAACACATAGGATCACATAGAGCATATAGCACGTAGGCATGATATTTAGATGCAAAATCCTAAAGAAATCTGATAAAACACATAAGACACATAAACACACAAAATCTATTGATTATATTGGGGGTATAACTATAATCTAAAATGAAAAAATATAACAAAATTAATTTATCTATGCTATCTATTATATTGGTTTATCTAATTACAATTTTTGTAAAAGAAAGAAATGAAAAAAGAAAAAAAATATTATCTATCTATTATATCTTGAGGTATCTAAGTACATCCCAAATAATTATAAAAATTAACTAAAAATAAATAGAAATTGAATAGAAATTTAAAATAAACAAATAAAAGAAAACATATTTTGATGAATATATTTAGGTACAAGCATCAATTAGTATTTGTAGAGCTTTGAGATTGTGAGAGAAGACTCTTAAGGCCAATATGATTGAGATCCATTATGCACAAGAACTTGTGGATTCATTGATAAATGCCGGTGATAGATTGGTTATAGTTGACTTTTATTCCCCTGGTTGCGGATGTAACGCCCCCACTTCTTCCTAAGGTGAACCAAAGGGTATCAGCAGGACATCTGCCCAACTCTCGCCAGGACTCGGTATAAATCCCAATCAAACTTAATACAATACTACCTATCACAACAAGACAAAGTAAGAAAGATAAGTCGCTTCCATAAATAACAATAAAATTTACACCATGAGTTTCAAAATATATCAATAATCCAATTCTTACATTGGTTCCCAAAAGATACATCAATCCTCAAACTATACAACAGCCACAAAGTCTAGTCAATTACATTTGGAACCTTAACACAAGAGTACAACAGAAGGGTTTCTCCGAGTTCACTCCAAATCCAAGCCTATTAAGGAAAACAAAACTACGGGGTGAGTAATCGCTCGTGAGGTCAAGAAACACACATGCATGCACGTTGTCCAAATAACAATCCCAATTAGCAAGAAAAATGATAATAATCGAGTAATTTACAATTCAAGTGAAATATAAATAGAAACAATTCAAGGATATGGTAGCTCTCAGGAGCTATGTTCCACTTGCTTTGCCAGGTCTCAATCGTATACCTTCCCGTGGTGACTCTCCGGAAACTGGGTCGATATTTTCAATCCGTAGAACTCCACTTACTTCTCATGTCTGTCCACCTTACAACCCCCCACCGGGCCCGAACGACGATAAAGGCGCTACTGCACGAGTAGGCCAAGCAAGATCTCTCTAATAGATCAAGCTTATCATGTTATTCTCATGGCTCACCGAAGTTCCCGACCAAACCCATGCCGGATTGAGTCCCAAGGTCGGCCTATGAGTTTGGGCGTCCCCCATGTAACATTTGTGAGTCGAGGAGATTCACTCCAACGACGTATGCAGCCATAGCATACCATTTCATTTCATTCAAGCATTCAATCATCCATCTCATTCAATCAAGTCATTCATAATTTATTCGTTTCATTTCAATCAATTCAATCATGAGTCATTCATTTCAAATGAGAACGAGTGCGGTAAAGTACACACTCGCCTCCATTTTCAAAATCTCCAATCAATTATAACAATTAAACATGTATCAAGTACTCATACACTTGACATTCACCAAGTAAACAAAGGAGAAATTGTCACTCGAAGGTTCAGGCGTCCACCGTGAGATCCTCTTGAAGGTTCTCTTGTATGCCTGAGCAAGTAATAACGAACTACTACTTAGAAACCCCAATTATCGAATAAGATTGTACTATAGTACAATCTAAGAAAATCTCATAAAAATGAGCCTTAATTACTCGTAAATCGAGACTCAAAGGTGGGGTTTTAAAACTCAAGAGAAATCTGGTTTTCATCTTTGAAATCAAGTGTAAAACGATCAAGTGATATCAAAGGAAAAGAGAGAGTTTGAAAAACTCCATTTCTTTCAAGTTAGGAATTTTCAGATTTGTTACACGTAATTTGAAAAATCGTATCTCACTCTCTACAAGTCCAAAATTTGAAACTTGGTACCGTTGAAAACTATTTTTAAAGTACTAAAAGTTCCTAGAAGACACTTTTCTATGATCCCAAATGGAAGATATTCAAAATTCGGCTCAAAGTTGCTGTTTTGGAATGCCAAGACAGATTTGGGTTGATTTTCGACAAAGTTTGGAAATTCGGAAAAATTCACACAATGCAAACTAGCCTCTGAAATTCGGAACTCAATTAGAGTTACAATCAAAGTTTTCAACACAACAAGTGGAACAAGAATTGGAGTTTTGAGCACCAAGATATAAAGGCTCAAAGAAGCTGAATTTCCTCACTGAACAAAGATTTTCCAGGTTTAAAGCTTGAGCTTTGGTACTTTAGTTGGCATCGAAATGGAATCGGAATGGCACCAAATTTGGCAGTATTACACTACCATATAAGGGCTATTACTCTGTAAATTTTCATGTAAAAATTCGCATGGAATATCAGTTTACCAAGTCATTAAAACTCCAAAAATTTCAAAGGCAAAACTGCCTTGTAGTTCCGTTTTCCTTTTCCCCAAACGTTTGGCCAACAAAAACATCTCAAATATGATTCATTTATGTAGACAACGTCTAAGAGATATCCAAGATATATTTGGTAGGTGATTAACACCAAGGATTTCGAATAACAAGTCCCAAATCAAGATTAGTTATAAATCAGTCCAGAATTAGGGTTTTCTTTCACGAAGATAGCTCTGTAATCTGGTCACAACTCACTCAATTCAACTCAGAATTGAGCGTGGTTGGTGGCGTTGAAAACTACATTCATAAGGATACAATTTCTTAGAAGCAATCATTTTAAAATTCTATCCAAAACTAGCTCATATTTGAGCATTAAGTTGCAGCTCAAAACAGGGCTTCCAGTACAGATGAGAAACAGAATAGGCAACTTTACAAGGTTGGTACGGCTCACTCAGGTAGAATCAGGGCATATACTTTAGACCATTGTAAAACTGAAAATGTCTAGTTTCTAGTGCCACAAACAGCACTCAATTTCGACATCGGAGCAAAGAGTTATAGCTGTTTGAAAATCACTGCCACAGTAATACAGAACACAATTCCAGTTTTGGTAAAATTTCGAAATCTCAACATTTGCTCATCCAAATCATGTAATTTTTTGTGAAAACTTTCCACACAACCTATATTACGCATATACATCAAAAAAAAGTGAATTGGACCACAAAAAAGTGCACCAAAGTGCACGGCAATAGCAGGGGCAGAAACGGTAAAATTTCATTTTCACTTCCTTTGAGCTTTCTTCCACAATATAACTTATTTTCACTAGATTAAGCACTAATCCAACATAATTAATATCAAATCTCATCAAATCAGTTCATCAAGTTATTGTGGGATTTCATAGAGTCCACTCACAAGATTTCCAACAATATAAAGCTACCCATGTGAATCTATGAGCTCATAAGTGCAAGATAATTTCCATAAACTAAGATTTAAGAGGTTGATCGTTGTTTACCTTAGTAGATGACTAAAACAGAAAATTTTGGTCCTTGGAAGCTAAAGAAAACCATGAGAAGCAAGCCCTTTTCCTAGCTTAGGTTGATCTCCAAGTGGTTTGCAAGTTGTGTGTAAATTTTGGAGTGATTTGGGTGAGATTTGAGTGATGAAATGAAGAAGAATTTTGGTAGCTTTCTTCCTCCTTGTGGCCGGCTGCTATGGTGAGAAAGAGAGAGTGTGTTTTGCTGAAATGAAGCTTCCTTGAGAAGCTTAAGTGTGTGGTTCAAATTGCCTCAAAAGTCAACTCTCTCCTCACACGCACACGCACGCGTTTCGTGCTCGATTCCTCTCGAGTTGTTTCACTTGTGCACTAAACCTCTAATGCAATTCTATTCATACTATTATTATTCATTCTTAATGGTCTAAAAATAAGGGTCTAAGGTCCCTCAATTAATCGCGCACGCGAAAACGCGTACTTCCGATTTGTTCTCGATAAAGTGAAAATTTCAATAAATTCTTATAACGATAGTATTACTAACTAATACTTAAGCACTTAAGCATAAAAAATACCTATTTCAAGACTAATGTACAAGTCTCCAATTTTTCAAGATTATTGTATTCTCGATTCGATTATTGTCTCCAAACGCGCATCCACTATTCACTCTAAACGAGCTTTCAAAAATAAATTTTCGAATCAAGGCATTTTTAAAATACTTGTAGGTCATAGTTCCATATAATTGAGTATAAAGAGATTGAAATAAAATATTCGAAATAAACGACCAAATAAATATTTAAATGAGCTCATAATAGGAATTTAAAATAAGAAAATTTGCGAGTCCTCATATCCTCTCCCCCTTAAAAGAATTTTGTCCTCGAAATTATACCTTGATTTGTGAACAGGTCTGGATATTTTTCTCGAATTGCTTATTCAACTTCCCAAGTCGCTTCCTCTAACTCATAGTTCCTCCAAAGAACTTTCACCAAAGGAATCCGCTTGTTCCTTAGTTCTTTCACCTTACTATCTCGAAGTTTCACTGGTTTCTCCTCATAGGTCAGCGCTTCATCAATTTGATACTTTCTGATTGCAAAATATGAGAAGGGTCTGGATGGTACTTCTTAAACATAGATACGTGGAAAACGTTATGAATTCGAGACAAACTTGGTGGCAATTCCAACTTATAGGCCACATTTCCTACACATTGGATAATCTTGTAAGGCCCTACGAATCTCGGTTGTAATTTCTTTCCTTTTCCAGACATTAAACTTGCTTTCAGAGGTATAATCTTAAGAAACACTAGATCTCCAACCGCAAATTCTAAGTCCTTCCTCCGATTATCTACATAACTCTTTTGACAACTTTGTGCAGTCTGAATTTTCTGGCGTACCAATTTCACTTTTTTATTTGCTTCTTCAATCCAAGGCACTGTGGTCGGGTCTAAAATTTTTCGTTCACTTACTTCCTCCCAACAAATCGGAGATCTACACTTCCGACCATAAAGTGCTTCATACGGAGCCATTTGAATAGAAGAGTGGAAGCTATTGTTATAGGCAAATTCCACCAATGTTAAAAATTTACTCCAACTCTCCCCAAAATCCAAGACACAAGTTCTCAATATGTTCTCAAGAGTTTGAATCATCCATTCAGACTGTCAATCGATCTGGGGATGGTAAGTAGTACTAAAATTCAATTTACTCACCAACACTTCTTGCATCTTTTGCCAAAATCTTAAAACAAATCTCGGGTCTCTATCGGACACAATACTTACAGGTATTCCATGTAACTTGATAATCTCATCCAAATACACCAATGTTAAAAATTTACTCCAACTCTCCCCAAAATCCAAGACACAAGTTCTCAATATGTTCTCAAGAGTTTGAATCATCCATTCAGACTGTCAATCGATCTGGGGATGGTAAGTAGTACTAAAATTCAATTTACTCACCAACACTTCTTGCATCTTTTGCCAAAATCTTAAAACAAATCTCGGGTCTCTATCGGACACAATACTTACAGGTATTCCATGTAACTTGATAATCTCATCCAAATACAATTTAGCCAACTTCTGTAATGGATACTTCATATTATTTGGCAGAAAATGAGCCAATTTGGTCAGTCGATCCACTATTATCCAAATAGCATCATGGTCTCTTTATGTCCTGGGTAGTCCTGATATAAAATCCATAGTGATGTTCTCCCATTTCCACTCAGGTATCTCTAGAGGTTGCAAAAGTCCAAACGGTTTCTGATGTTCAGCCTTAACCTGTTGACAAATTAAACAGGTCTGAACAAAATGGGCAATTTTCCTTTTCATGCTCTCCCACCAAAACAAACTTTTCAAGTCTTGGTACATTTTATTCCCTCCGGGGTGTACCGTAAACTTCGATCGGTGTGCCTCTTTCAAGATTTCCTTCTTAAGCTCTTCATCCTTTGGCACTACTATCCGATTCTGAAACCTCAATATACCATTCAATCCCAAGTTAAAATCTGACTTTTCTCCCTTTTTGACTTTCCCCACCCACATTTGTACTTCATGGTCATTTTCCTAAGTTTCTTTAATACGTTCCATCAAAGCGGAATTCACTACTATATTCCCAAGAATTATTTTTCTCGATTCAAGTCTAGGATTCCACTAACTAACTTTTTCTAACAGGTGTAATTCCTTAATCATCAATCCGGCCACTTGCACTTGACGACTTAAAGCATCGGCCACTACATTGGTTTTCCCTAGATGGTACTTTATCGTGCAATCATAATCTTCCAAAAAATTTCATCCACCTACGTTGCCTTAAATTCAGCTCCTTTTGGAAAAACAAATATTTAAGGCTTTTGTGGTCAGTAAAAACCTTAAATGTTACTCTATACAGATAATGTCTCCACTTCTTTAAAGCGACACTACCGCCCCTAACTCCAAATCATGAGTTGGGTAGTTTCCTTCATATGGTTTCAACTTCCTAGATGCATACGCTATCACTTTGTCATTTTGCATTAATACACATCCCAAGCCTTCCTTGGAAGCATCTGTGTAGACCACAAAGCTATCTTTCCCATTTGGTAGAGCTAACACAGGCGCTCTTGTTAAACGTCTTTTTAATTCTTGAAAACTCTCCTCACACTTAGGACTCCATATAAACTTCCCACTTTTCTTGGTCAACTCAATCATGGGTCCAGCAATTCTAGAAAATCCTTAATGAATCTCCGGTAATACCCTGCTAATCCTATAAGTTTCGAACCTCAATAGGATTTTCCGGTCGTTTTCACTTTGAAACAGTTTCAACTTTGGCTGAATCCACTTTTATCCCATCCTTAGAAATTATGTACCCCAAAAATATTATTTCTTTCAACCAAAATTCACACTTGCTGAACTTAGCATACCATTGGTGTTCCCTCAAGGTTTGTAAAACAATTCTCAAGTGCTTCTCGTGATCCTCCACATTCTTAGAGTACACCAATATGTCATCAATAAACACCACCACAAATTGATCCAAATAAGGTTTAAAAACCCTGTGCATCAAATCCATAAAGCAGCAAGTGCATTCGTTAACCCAAATGGCATTACGGCAAATTCAAAGTACCCATACCTCGAGTTAAAAGTAGTTTTTGGTATATCTTTCTCCAAAATCCTCAATTGATAATAACCGTCTCAAATCTAACTTGGAGAATACTACTGCCCCTTGCAATTGGTCAAAAAATTCATCAATGTGGGGCAACGGGTACTTATTCTTAATAGTAACATTATTTAAGTCTCTGTAATCTATATATAACCTCAAACTCCTATCTTTCTTCTTAATGAATAAGACCGGGGCTCCCCACGGTGAGTCACTCTCTTTTATAAAGCTCCGTTCTAACAAATCCTGTAGTTGCAATTTCAATTCTTTCAATTCGGCTGGAGCCATCCGATATGGCGTCTTAGAGATAGGTGCTACTCCCGGAGTCACATCAATCTTAAAAGCTATGTTTCTTTTCGGGGGTAAAGACTCTAACTCTTCAGAAAAAATATTCGGGTAATCTTTTACTACAGACATGTCTTCCAGTCTCACTTTATCGTTAGGGGTGTTGATTAGAAAAGTCAAATATCCTAAGCTCCTTTACTTAACATTTTCCTAATTCAAATCCCTGAGATAAGTGCAGATGAGACTAATCTACCCCTTACATCCAGTTTCAGGGTTGCCTCTCTCGGAATGCACAATTCTACTATTTTCGTTTTACAGTTCAACTGGGCATTGTAACGGGTTAACCAGTCCATTTCTAAGATCACATCATACCCTTTAATCGCTAAACCTATCAGATTGGCCATTAATTTTCGTTCTCCAATCCAGATCTCATAATGCCTTTACACCAAGTTAGCGATTAGACTTTGATTCCCAGTAGGTGTCATAACCTCCAAGTCATAAGGTAATTTAATTGGTTTCAAATCTATTCCGCCCATGAAATTAAGGTTTACAAAGGAATGTGTCGCACCCGGATCAATTAAAACCCTAACTAAGCGGTGAAAAATAGGAATCGTATCTTCAACCACCTCAGTCGCATCGGGTATCTGTTGATGGTCCAGTGCATAAACCCTAGCAGGTACCTTTTGTCGGTTTCCTCCAGCACCGGTCTGTATAGAGGTTGACTTTTCGGGTCTTTGGGTGCTTCCTCCCACCTTCAGCTTATTTGGACAAGTCGCGAGTTGGTGCTCGATACTACCACAAACCAAACACTTCCCAAACTTTCTCCAACAATCGTTCTCAGAGTGGTTGGGTTTACCACAGTACCCACAAGAGATTTGAGGGGTCACTGCCGAGCCGCTAGAAGGCGCTCCCCTAACTTGAACCTGCCCACTATGACCTCCCCTGGATAAAACTCCCCTAGAAACTCCAGCAATCATTATTCCTCCCATTCCTCTCCCAATTTTGGAAGGCTGTGAACTCTTGCTAGTCTGTCCAGAAGTACGACTAGAAAAGTTCTTCTTCCTATTATGAAAGTCCTTAACTTGCATTCTCGCACTTTCAACCCGTTGCGCTTTCTCTAAAGTTTCAGTAAATGTAGAGATTTGGGCTGCGACCAAACCCTCATGGATTTTCACATTAAACCCTTGTACAAACCGCCTTATCTTTTTCCACTCATTGGTCACCAATTCAGGGGCATACTTAGAAATTTTAGTAAATTTTCCTTCATACTCTGCTACATTAAGGATCCCTTGTTTCAACTTGATAAATTCATCCTCCCTCTTCTCTTGGATCAAAGGTGGAAGAAAATTTTCATTAAACTCCCTCGTGAAATTCTCCCAAGTCCAAGGGGTTTGAGCTCTCTTCCATTTTCCTTTTATCATGTCCCACCAAGCACGAGTCACTCCCTCAAATTGAAAAGTAGCAAAATTCACTCGCCTATCTTCGGTATAGTCTAAGGCTGCAAATATATTGGTCATTCTCTCCAACCAATTCTCTGTTACCTCAAAATCGGGTTCACCAATGAATTTAGGCGGGTTAAATTTCAGGAACCTCTCCAAGGCTCTATCCTCCCCTCTATCCTGTCCCCTAGTTTGGCTAAGCGGTCCAGGACCCTGTCTTTCAGCTAAACGTTCAAGGATATCAGTCATCCTATTAATAACAGTAGTCACTTGATTTCCCTCTACATTTTCTTGTTCATGGGTCGGTCCAGTTGCCGATCCCTGGTCATTCCCATGAGATTGGGCCTGTCTAGTCCCTCGACCACAGCCTTGACCACTCCTTCGTCCTTCCATTATCCTAGGTATGCCTAATGCAAGAAATAAATTAATTATACGGGGAAAATATTTAAAACAAGAACCAATCACGAAAATATTGAAAATAACAATAATTTACATTCATTAACACTTTCAAATCCATACAATTAGTAAGTCAAGGGAAAGCACAAAAATATAGCACACAGGTGCTACAAGAGTACTTTCAGTCACAGAAAACTAAAGTAAAATCAAGTGTCTCAAAAGTAGGCCACACAGTCATGCAAAATACAATGATCTCAGCACTCGCATCACCCCAACTAATCCTAACTATACCAGTCAAAAGGGTCAAAAGGTCAATCAGTCTAGACCTAGTACACAGTAGGACTACCAGGAGGAATTTCCTCCTCAGGATCCTCTCCCGGATCCTCCTCTGAGTCCTCCCCCTAAATCGGGCTCTGGACAATATCCGTTACCACCTCTATCATCATAGTGGCATCGGTCAGGATCCCGGAAGCCCGATCACGGACCTCCTCACCTAACCTAGTGAGTCGAGTCCTAGTCCTATGGAGCTCCTCGTGAGTGACCGCAGCAGTAGCCACCTCGCCAGCCAGTACCTCCTCGAGCTCGGCGACCCTCTCGCCCTGAGCACTAACCATCTGTTTCAACTCATCCAACTCCTCCTGTAAATCCCGGTTGGTATTCACCAACTGACGACGCTCGTCGTCCAAAGCTAGCACGAGGTGGTTCGGGTAGGCAAATGTCAATCTACACGAACATCGAGGATACCTATCATAGGGTGAATAACGCACACGAGCTCCTCCACCAAGAGCTCGATAGTAAATAGGTCTAGAATGCTCTACGTGACCATTAACATGGCCATTTCCATTAGCTGCGAGGGTCCCATCTTCATTATCCATCCCTGCAAAACAATCACACTTTTCGGGTTAGAAATTTAGTCACTAACTCGCTCGGATATCACTTAAGGTATGACTAACTTAGTCACTAGTTTGCCCACATATCACTTAAAGTATGGCTAAGTCATCATATCTCAAATCCTAACGGTAAAGTTCCTACTATATCTCCCATATAGATCTCTAACCTAGCGCTCTGATACCAATTGTGACGCCCCCACTTCTCCCTAAGGCGAATCAAAGGGTATCCGCGGAACGCCTACCCAGCTCTCGTCAGGATTCGGTACAAATTCCATTCAAGGTTAATACAATACTAGCTATCACGACAAGACAAAGTAAGAAAGATAAGTCGCTTCCATAAATAACATTAAAATTTACACCACGAGTTCCAAAATATATCAATCATCCAATTCTTACATTGGTTCCCAAAAGATACATCAATCCCCAAACTATACAACAGCCACAAAATCTAGTCAATTACATTTCGAACCCTAACACAAGAGTACAACAGAAGGGTTTCTCCGAGTTCACTTCAAGTCTATGCCTGTTAAGGAAAACAAAACTACAGGGTGAGCAATCGCTCGTGAGGTCAAGAAACACACATGCAAGCACGTTGTCCAAATAACAATCCCAATTAGCAAGAAAAACAGTAATAATAGAGTAATTTACAATTCAAGTGAAATATAAACAGAAACAATTCAAGGATATGGTAGCTCTCAGGAGTTATGTTCCACTTGCTTTGCCAGGTCTCAATCGCATACCTTCCTGCGGTGACTCTCCGTCAACCGGATCGGTATTTCCAATCCGTAGAACTCCACTTACTTCTCATGTCCGTCAACCTTGCAACCCCCCCACCGTGCCCGAACGACGATAAAGGCGCTACTGCACGAGTAGACCAAGCAAGATCTCTCCAATAGATTAAGCTTATCATGTTATTCTCATGACTCACCGAGGTTCCAGACTAAGCCCATGTCGGCTCGAGTCCCAAGGTCGGCCTATCAATTTGGGCGTCCCTCATGTAACATTTGTGAATCGAGGAGATTCACTACAACGACCTATGCAACCATAGCATACCATTTCATTTCATTCAAGCATTTAATCATTCATCTCATTCAATCAAGTCATTCATAATTCATTCGTTTCATTTCAATCAATTCAATCATGAGTCATTCATTTCAAATGAGAACGAGTGCGGTAAAGTACACACTCGCCTCCATTTTCAAAATCTCCAATCAATTATAAAAATTAAACATGTATCAAGTACTCATACACTTGACACTCACCAAGTAAACAAAGGAGAAATTGTCACTCGAAGGTTCAGGCGTCCACCGTGGGATCCTCTTGAAGGTCCTCTTGTGTGCCTGAGCAAGTAATAACGAACTACTACTTAGAAACCCCAATTATCGAAGAAGATTGTACTAGAGTACAATCTAAGAAAATCTTATAAAAAATAAGCCTTAATTACTCGTAAATCGAGACTCAAAGGTGGGGTTTTAAAATACAAGAGAAATCTAGTTTTCATCTTTGAAATCAAGTGTAAAACGATCAAGTGATATCAAAGGAAAAGAGAGAGTTTGAAAAACTCCATTTCCTTTAAGTTAGGAATTTTCAGATTTGTTACATGTAATTTGAAAAATCGTATCTCACTCTTTACAAGTTCAAAATTTGAAAAATTGGTACCGTTGAAAACTACTTTTAAAGTACTAAAAGTTCCTAGAAGACACTTTTTCATGATCACAAATGGAAGATATTCAAAATTTGGCTCAAAGTTGCTGTTTTGGAATGCCAAGACAGATTTGGGTTGATTTTCGACAAAATTTGAAAATTCGGCAAAATTCACACAATACGAACTAGCCTCTGAAATTAGGAACTCAATTAGAGTTACAATCAAAGTTTTCAACACAACAAGTGGAACAAGAATTGGAGTTTTGAGCACCAAGATATAACGGTTCAAAGAAGCTGAATTTCCTCACTGAACAAAGATTTTCCAGGTTTAAAGCTTGAGGTTTGGTACTTTAGTTAGCATCGAAATGGACTCAGAATAGCACCAAATTTGGCAATATTGTACTACCATATAAGGGCTATTCCTCTGTAAATTTTCATGCAAAAATTTACATGGAAATTCAGTTAACCAAGTCATTAAAACTCCAAAAATTTCCAAGGCAAAACTGCCTTGTAGTTCCGTTTTCCTTTTCCCCAAACGTTTGGCCAACAAAAACATCTCAAATATGATTCATTTGTGTAGACAATGTCTAAGAGACATCCAAGATACATTTGGTAGGTGATTAACACCAAGGATTTCGAATAACAAGTCCCAAATCAAGATTAGCTATAAATCAGTCCAGAATTAGGGTTTTCTTTCACGAAGACAGCTCTGTAATCTGGCCACAACTCACTCAATTCAACTCAGAATTGAGTGTGGTTGGTGGCGTTGAAAACTACATTCATAAGGCTACAATTTCTTAGAAGCAATCATTTTAAAATTCTGTCCACAACTAGCTCATATTTGAGCATCAAATCGCAGCTCAAAACTGGGCTTCCAGTACAGATGAGAAACAGAATAGGCGACTTTACAAGGTTGGTACGGCTCACTCAGGTGGAATCAGGGAATGCACTTTAGACAATTGGAAAACTGGAAATGTCTAGTTTCTAGTGCCGTAAACGGCACTCAATTTCGACGTCGGAGCAAAGAGTTATAGCTGTTTGAAAATCACTGCCAGAGCAATACGAAACACAATTCTAGTTTTGGTAAAATTTTGAAATCTCAACATTTGCTCTTCCAAATCATGTAATTTTTTGTGAAAACTTTCCACACAACCTATATTACACATATACATCAAAAACAAGTGAATTGGACTACAAAAAAGTGCACCAAAGTGCACGGCAATAGCAGGGGCAGAAACGGTAAAATTTCTTTTTCACTTCCTTTGAGCTTTCTTCTACAATATAACTTATTTTCACTAGATTAAGCACTAATCCAACATAATTAACATCAAATCTCATCAAATCAGTTCATTAAGTCATTGTGGGATTTCATAAAGTCCACTCACACGATTTTCAACAATATAAAGCTATCCATGTGAATCTATGAGCTCATAAGTGCAAGATAACTTCCATAAACTAAGATTTAAGAAGTTGATCATTGTTTACCTTAGTAGATGACTAAAACAGAAAATTTCGGTCCTTGGAAGCTAAAGAAAACCGTGAGAAGCAAGCTCTTTTCCTAGCTTAGGTTGATCTCCAAGTGGTTTGCAAGTTGTGTGTAAATTTTGGAGTGATTTGGGTGAGATTTGAGTGATGAAATGAAGAAGAATTTTGGTAGCTTTCTTCCTCCTCGTGGCTGGCTGCTATGGTGAGAAAGAGAGAGTGTGATTTGCTGAAATGAAGCTTCCTTGAGAAGCTTATGTGTTTGGTTCAAATTGCCTCAAAAGTCAACTCTCTCCTCGCGCGCACACGCTCGCGTTTCGTGCTCGATTCCTCTCGTGTTTGTTTCACTTGTGCACTAAACCTCTAATGCACTTCTATTCATACTATTATTATTCATTCTTAATGGTCTAAAAATAAGGGTCTAAGGTCCCTCAATTAATCGCGCACGTGAAAACGCGTACTTCCGATTTGTGCGCGATAAAGTGGAAATTTCAAGAAATTCTTATAACGATAGTTTCACTAACTAATACTTAAGCACTTAAACATAAAAAATACCTATTTCAAGACTAATGTACAAGTCTCCAATTTTCCTAGATTATTGTATTCTCGATTCGATTATTGTCTTCAAACGCGCATCCACTATTCACTTTGAACGAGCTTTCAAAAATAAATTTTCGAATCAAGGCATTTTTAAAATACTTGTTGGTCATAGTTCCATGTAATTGAGTATAAAGAGGTTAAAATAAAATATTCAAAGTAAACGGCCAAATAAATATTTAAATGAGCTCATAATAGGAATTTAAAATAAGAAAATTTGCGAGTCCTCGCAGTGGAGGTTGCAATGTGTTGCATCCCATCTTTGTGGACTGCAATGGAGAGGGTCTTTTTTTTGCTGTGGGTAGACCATCTTCCATGGAGTAAAGAGGTTGGCTGCCTTTTACTCCATATATACTGTTGAGTTAACGAGGCAAGAATGCCCCT